CGCACCTGTGGCCCCCAGGCCTGGCCCCTGGAAGTAACATCCAATGACCCCTCCCCCTGCCTCTCTAGCTCCAGAGGCAAAGTGCTGGCAGGACCATCTGATTGGCCGGGCTCAGGTCATGTGACACACACCTATTGCTTCCCTCCATTCACCCTGAGGTTTATTACTGGGAAGCAGAGAGGCTGCTTCCCTTCTAGCTAGGGTGCCCCACCCCTGAAACAAAAAAATCAGAAGAGTTTTGAGGTAATAGGCAGCCAAAATGACAAATGTCCTCTCCTTCGGGGACTTAGCTAGATGCTTCTCAAGATTCTCTGAGTCTACTCTGTAAGGGCTGCTGTTTCCCTGTGGCACCTGGAACGGAGCTCTCTACCAATTAGGCTTCCAATAAGTGTTTTTCGCTGAGTATAATGAGTATGTTAGCCTTTGGCACAAAAGAAAATAAGGCTGCACACTTATTTATAGCATCCAGCTTTTTGGTTCAGAACAGACTGTTTCAGCTGCTGAGCTCCTTTTGTTTATCAGGAAAACAGTTGATATTTATCATTTCTCTTAGCAAAAGGAAGAAGAAAAGCATTCAAACATTTCCATGTTTCTGTGTATATGTTTAAGTACTTAGTGGTTATATTGCAGTGAATTAGTCGAGCAGAGCTGTTAGAACAAGCCTCAGTTTTGATCATCAGCTACCGGCTTCTCTCCGCATACCGGCTCCTTTGGCTAATTCGAGCCAATGTGATTATCCTTCTGGTTTCCTCCTCCTTCAGCACCCCTCATCCGCCTGCCCTGAGTCAGTTTCTAAGTACTGTTGGCTTTTCATTGCTTGGCATTCTCTCCCTAACCTCTGTCCTCCCCACTTAGTCCCAGCCCATACCACCCACACCTGTATCAGGTCTTCTCTCACCTGGAATCTCATCTCATCTTGGATCTCGCATATCGCCTGCTTGATCTTCTCAGCAAGGTGCATTAGGTTTTTTTCCCCACTGTGCTTCTCATGGGCACCGTAATGGCTTCTTGTTGCTTGTCAGCATAGCAGAGCAGTTAAGAGAGTTCTGGGGTCAGCCTCAGATCCCAGCCTTGCCATTTAGTGTCTTTGTTAACAAGAGGTATGTCCAGATGTAATTAACAAAACCAGCTTATAGTGACTTAACCAAATATGAGTTTATTTTTTCCCAGGACAACAAGTCTGGTGAGAGGCTGCCGTCAGAGGCAGCTGCAGCATCTCATGGCCTCAGGGTCCCAGTTATTTCTCTCTTTCTGCCCAGTCATTCCAGAGTGTGGCTTTGTCCTCATGCTTCTCAACTCCTGGCTGCCTCACCTCCAGCATCAAGTCTGTGTCCCAGGCAGAAGGAGGGGCCATGCTGAGAGCAAAGTATGCATCAGCTGAGGATGCCCTCCTCTTAAAGAGCTATCCTCGGGGCCTCACTCAGGATATCCCATTGTCCAGATGGAGTCGAGTCACAAGTCCACTCCTGAGATTTTAGCTAAGCATGTTGCTAGTGTGATCAAAATGGAGGACCAGGGGCCGGCCCTGTGGCCGAGTGGTTAAGTTTGCCCACTCTGCTTCAGCGGCCCGGGGTTTCACAGGTTCAGATCCTGGGCGCGGACATGGCGCCGCTCATCAGGCCATGCTGAGGTGGCATCCCACATAGCACAACAAGAGGCACTCACAACTAGAATATACAGTTATGTACTGGAGGGCTTTAGGGAGAAGAAGAAAAAAAAAAAAGATTGGCAACAGACGTTAGTTCAGGTGCAAATCAAAAAAAACCAAAAAACATAATAAAAATGAAGGACCAAGTGTTCATCTTACTTGGGATCTGCAGATACCCATCCTTTACCATCACTGGCAATAGTAGGTGTTTATTAAGTGCTTATTACTTCACTTTTTAATACGGCATATTTTTGTTTGGGTAGGTTTTCTCAGTAAATCACCTAGCATAATGTTTACTATGACCTTCTCTGTAAATAACATGTAAAATTCTGGAATTCTTTTTTCTCCTCCCCCACCACCTCTTCACCTTTATTATTTCCTTCAGTTTGTCACCCTCATGTAGCTCCTTTGTCTTTTGGCCCCTAGCCTCCTGCCGCTCCCTCCATCCTCCTACACATCCCCACCAGTCTTTGAGGTGACCCTCACGTAAGCATTCTGTCCCCTCAGGATGAAGTTTTTGTTGTTATTTAAAGCTTTTATGTTCTTTTTAAAAACTCCTAGCCCTATTCTTTTTCTTTCCTCCCCATAACCACCTTATTCCATCTTCACAGAGAACACAGTGACTGGGCAGGAGCCCTTACGGGTCTCTCCTCTTTATCTTATGGAGCCTGCCTCCTTAAGAGAAGGCCTTACCTCAGGGGCCCATTTGTTCCAGGGACCTGGCTCTCTCTAGTCTTCTGGGACCTAATTTATCCCCTCAGCTTCTTCTCTCAGGGTCTTCTGTTCGTTCCTCTCAAGTTGCCTCCGTGAAAAGATAAGTGCGTACTTAAGTAGCCTTTCTTCCGCCTCAGCCCTTTGCTTCATACATCCTTTCCCTCACCTTGAGTCATCTGGCCCCGTGGCCTGGCATCCTCCTCCAACACACCCTGAAACTACACTTTCGGAGGTTGGTCACCCGAGGCTAGACTGTGGCCTCCACCTCTCTGACCCTGTTCTCCCTTCCCGAGACCCTGCTGTGTCCTGACATTCTGCCGCACCCTCTCCCCAGATTCTGTCTCTCACTTTCCCTTCCTGGTCCTTTTTCTCTTCTCTCCCCTTAGATAGAGATTTCTCCCAAGGCTCTGCCCTGGCTGCCCTCTCCCTGAACACTCTTCTGAGGTGATCTGATATCTTCCAATAACTAATTCTTTTCTCAAATGTGTTTTTGTCCCAATTTGTTTTATTGTGATAAAATGTCACATAAAATTTACCATTTTAACCATTTGTAAGTGTACAGTTCAGTGGTATTAAATATGTTCATCATGTTGTGCCACCGTCACCACCATCCATCTCTAGAACTCTTTTCATCCTGTAAAACTGAAACTCTGTACTCACTAAACGATAACTCTCCATTCCTCCCTCCCCACAGCCCCTGGCAACCACCATGCTACTTTCTGTCTCTATGATTTTGACCACTCTAAGTACCTCATTTAAGTGGAATCATACAATATTTATCTTTTTGTGACTGACATTTCACTTAGCATAGTGTCCTCAAGTTTCATCCATGTTGTAGCATATTGCCGAATTTCCTTCCTTTTTTAAACCTGAATAATATTCCATTGTATGTATATATCACATTTTGTTTATCCATTCATCCAAGCAACGTGGGTTGCTTCCATGTTTTTGCTATTGTGAGTAATGCTGCTGTGAACATGGGTGTACTGATGTCTGTTTAAGTCCTTGCTTTCAATTCTTTTGAGTCTGGCTTTGCGCCATGTACCATGCTGTTTGGATTCCTGCAGCTTTGTAGTAAGCTTTGAAATCAGGAAGCATGAGTCATCCAGCTTTGTTTTTTTTCAAGATTGTTTTGGCTATTTGGGGGTCCCTTTAGATTCCATCTATATTTTAGGATGGGTTTTTCTGTATCTGCGAAACTGTCATTGGGATTTTGACAGAGATGGCATTGAATCTGTAGACCGCTTTGGGTAGTATTGACATCTTAACAATATTGAGTATTCCGATCCATGAAACTGGACATATTTCCATTTATGGCTTCTTTGATTTCTTTCAGCTTAGCTGTATGTCTTTTGTTAGACCTTTCTCTTGAGGCTCAGATTGTCTCTATTTCCAGTAAGCTACCATATGATACCTCAAACTCACCATGTTCCATACCAAACTCATTAATAAAACACCTTTCTTCCCCATTATCCCTTTTTCTAAAAAATTTCTCTTTCTTTCTCTCTCTGTGTCTCTTTCTCTGTCTTTCTCTCTCATAAACACACACATACACACACATGCATACACGTGGGCCTTCTATGCCGTGGGTGTGCTCCCAGATAGGTATACAGGCCAGAGACTCTGGGGGCCTCCTTCAGCCCCTACGCCTCACCAGCCACCCTGCTGATTGTAACTTGGACACATTTCTTAGTTCTGTCCCTTAGTTCTGAAGCCCTTGGAACCATTCTATCCCCCTTATTCCCGGTCTCTGCCTCCATTCTGGTCTCACCGTCCCCCATCATAACATTCCTAAAAGTCTAATATGATTATGTCACTCTGTGCAGAAACCAGAGGCTCCTCCTTGACGGAGAGTGAAGTTCATTTGTAGAGTTTCCACCATGGGCAGGCACTGAAAAGACAAAGAAGTCAGGATTTCTGCCCTTGGTGCTTTCTCATAGTAGGACTGGCATGGGCTGGGCCGGGGAGGGTGAAGACAGTCACATTAACGTATAGTTGTGAGAACCAAAGCTGCAGTGGAGGAGGGAGATGGAACAACTTTGAAAAGGGGCTGCATGTCAGACTCAGGGACGTGGCCCCAGCCCGCTGCTGCCTTCCAGCCTGATTCTCCCTGTCCAGCCCGTGTGCCGAGGCTGCATTTCCAGTGGACCACGCACCATCACCAGGTCAAAGCACGCCCTGTCATGCCCCCTCTTCCTGGAGTGCATTCCCAAATCATAGCTGTGTTTTTGTCCTTTTCATTAATCAAGGCACAGCTCAGATACCATTCTTCCAGGATGCCATTCCTGAATCCTGTGGTCACTTTCCTACAGTGCTTTCTGTTTCCTGCTCTTGGGGCACATGTCAGTCTGGGCCTTGTATTTGAGTTGTGTACCTGCCTCTTTCCTTGTACTAGATGAAAAGCTACTTGAGGTCGGGATTGTGTTTTAGTCAACTGTTCGTTATCCGTGCTTCTGGCCCAGTGCATCATACCCTGAGGGGACTCCTCAGCCGGCGTTTGGTGGTGGATTATGTCTTGAGCATTCAAGGGAAGCAGGTTGTGTAGGACTTATCTTGGTGTGCATAGACACAAACTCACACTTGTCCTTGTGACACTGGCAATTCTCAGACATCTGCCTTTGTTCTTCTTTCAAACCAGTGCTTGGAGAGAGCCATGAAGTTTGCCTTTGAGGAGTTCCACCTCTGGTACCAGTTTGCTCTGTCACTCATGGCTGCTGGAAAAGTGAGTCGCCCTTTGTGCTATGCACTTCTCTGTGTCAGTAGTTAATGTCTTTGAATTCCAAGGGCTGATATGATACCTTGTAGAAGTCTAAACCAACTGTTTGAAACGTTCCTGTGGTCATTTATAAATGGACAGTCAAATTTAATGATTTGGGGGCCAACATGGACACATCATTGGAAAGAAAAATTTCTGAAATATTTGCCTTTTCTAGCCATTGTAACTTCATCTTGTGAAAATATGGCTTAAACTAAGGCTAATTCTTCAAACTGACCCTTTCACTCATAAACTTACTCCTGGAGAAGGAATCTTTTAGTTATCTTTAGCAATATGTTGTATCAGATAGTGTATGACATTGACAGTGTGGGCTGTGGAGTCCAACTGCTGGAGTTGAGGACTGGTGCTGTCCTCACAGCCGTCTGACCAGGGAGGTCCCTGAGTGTCTCAGTTTCCTCTTTAGTAAAATGGAGTAATAATAATACCTGCATCATAAATTGTTATCAGGTAAATGAAATGATACCCACAAGGTGCTTAGGTTGGCACCCCCCCCACACAGTACACACTCAGTAAAGGTCATAGCCATTGTTCTTCTTGTTAATTTGGGCCATTTAGTGAATCTGCCATTTAGCAAATTGTTAAGTCTGAGATTTAAGATTATTGGGGCTAATTGGAGACAGAAATTTGATATGGTATGCTTCAAATTGGATGGCTTATTTTTTATAATAACATAAGACTCCACTGTCTTTATTTTTGTCTTATTTTCACAACGGCTACACAAGTAGGGAACAAAATTAGGGTGATTCCAGCGAAGCGTTCCCACTTGTTTTAACCACAGTTTACCCTCCTCTCACTCGAGAGCGCCACGCTCTGGTTACCGCCATCCCCAGGCCCCTGCGTGCTTGGGCTCAAAGTTGGAAAACCTCCTTAAGAGGGCATCCTAACCAAGAGCCTTCTGGGAAAGGTTTAGTGTTTTGTTCTGTCAAAAATTTCAAGTTTCACAGAAATTATCTCCTTTTGCCAAGTCTGCTCGTGCTGTAAAGGTGCTGAAAGAGTGTATCCGTCTGAAGCCCGACGATGCCACCATCCCCCTCCTCGCTGCGAAGCTGTGCATGGGCTCCCTTCACTGGGTGAGTAGGGTTGGGGCTGTCTGCTCGTGGCAGGGCTTCCAGCCTTTTTCATTTCAAGGCGCTGGGTGAGAAGAGTAGTAATTCATCAGCTACACAAATACAAGGCTGTTCAGAGTCCCAGACCCTTGGCCCGGGCCACTGGCCTCCACAGGCCCCACCCACCCACCTGAGTTTTTCTATAAAGCAAAGAGTTGCCCTCACACATAGAACCGACTTTCTTCATTCCTCTTCCCTCACATGGGCTCTCCTCTTCAAATATTCTTCTTCAAATTTGAACTTGGGAATAGCCCAATTTGTAATAGTTCTATACTTCAAAAATATACCATTTGAAAAGAAAATAGAAAACTCAGCCTAATTGCTGAGAAGGTGGTACAGATAATTGCCACATGCAAAGGAGTTTTAATTTCTTTTCTTTAACTTTGTGTCAAGATTAGTGACAAAAGAATTTTCTCCAAAGACCAAGCCATCTTGCTAGGGTTTTTTACCATTATAGTTCTTGCTGCTTGATTTTTTCCGTGTACTCTCACCCAGCAGGACAAAAGTAAGCCATGTGAAGAAAGTGTGCTACTTTTGTTAGATTTCACTTGGGAAAACGTAGAAGAAAAAGGGCATTTTGAAAGAGCAGGCTCTCACCTGAAATGCACAGCTGTGAAGGCGATGTGTGGTCTGTTCAGGTTTCAATATTTTGGTGTCACAAGGAGGGAACAACACAGGCTGGCCCCAGGAGTGGGCGGAGGAGTGGACCAAACCCTTCGCTTTTGAAAATGCCAGTTTCTAGCTATGGCGTTGTTCATTACTGTAACGTATATCTCTCTAACACCTAAAATAAAGCTCTTTTTTTTAAAGATGAGAGTAGCACATCTTTTCTGTATATATTTTTTACATTTCTATTATTAAAATTTCCAAACACCACAAAAGTGAAGAGTGTAATGAACACCCGTCTACTCTCACCCAGCTTCAATAACATCAACATTGCCATACTTTGAAGGAACAAATCTTATTATTTTTGCCTTGAATGAATTGTGCAAAAGATCTCATTGTGGGTGTAGTTTACAGGTGCATATTTTCTCATTGGAATCTGCTGATGTGAGGTCCACGTGCTGTGTGTTGTAGAATAAATAGATGGAGTTTTGAAATTTTTAACAGCTTGTGGGAAAGAGAATCTGAGCCTAAATGGATTCTTTATGTCATGAAAAACAGGAAAGAACCAAACACAAAACATTTCAAGGACTTTGTTATTTAGATATATGTAATTATTATACATTTATTATTGATATGTATAAAATTAAACTTCTAAATGCCTAGCACAACCTAATTACAGAACCAGTCAGTAAAAAGTAAAAGACGAAAATGGTATAACCCCACCAAATATAAAAGTGACTTTGGAAAAGAAGTCAAAAAAGCAATAAGGAAAACTTTAAAGCAAAAAGGTAAGGTGGGAATCCTGAGGATTGTTGCAGAGGCTCAAATAAAGGAAACAGAATCACCAGAGTGGAATTGGAAGATCTGAGAGTTATTTTCGCAGTGACTCATCAGAAATCTGCTTTTGGCGGCAGATGCTTCTGGGACCTCGTGTTAGAAATTCTGCAGGTTGTTGTTGTTTTTCACTTGTCTGGTTTTTCAGTTGGAAGAGGCTGAGAAGTTTGCCAAAACTGTCGTTGATGCCGGAGAGAAAACGTCAGAGTTCAAGGCCAAAGGCTACTTAGCTCTGGGGCTCACGTACAGTCTGCAGGCCACTGACGGTGAGAGGAGTTCCGCCCCCTGGGGCTGTTGAGCCGCAGGGCTGGGCTGCAGGAGTTTGTCTGTAGGATTCGCACAGTCGCCCTGTGTTGTAGGAGGGTGCGTAAGCTGGGCCATTCTGCTGTGCTATCCTGTGGGGCCCCGGTGCTGCTGTCTTCCTTGCTTGGACTGGTTGGAGAATGGGAGGGAAGGGATGAGGGCTCTGTGCACTCGGCTGGGCTGTCCTCGTATGAAGGGATGTGGGTCTAAGGCCCAGGAATGTAGAGGAGTTCAGGGCCAGCCACTTCCACGAAGCTTCCCTTGACTGGTCAAGACCTGCCCCTCCTGTATTTGCACGTTTTAACTCACAGATATGTGCACGTGCAATGCAGCCGCTCACCAAATTACTCGTGCAGAGATACACGTTTTGGATGTACTTAGAGGTTTGGTGGACAGGCTTCTGGCTATAAAATCTTAATTGTGTTGTGTATAATTAATGAAGTTTTCAATTATATTTTGCAGAAAGTGTGAATTGATAAGTTGTTTTTCTGAACTCTTATTTCTTTAACATTTTGTTGTTAAATATAAGACAAATACAAAAAAGTTTTAAGAACAAATGTGTAATTTAATGAAGGAAGATAAGGCAAACATCCTTGTAATCACGCTGCACTCAGGAGCTAGAACCTTGCCAGCCACGTGGGGAGCTCTTCATGCGCCCGCTCCCGACCACAGGCCCCTTAAGGGAAAATACAGTCTGACTTTTATAGTACTCACTGTCTTTTTCTTTCTTTATAGTTTTGCTCTAGTTTATTTTACAAATCACCTCAAATCCTTCTTTCCTCTGCCCCAAAATGTCAAAGACCCTGGAGAAGTTTTGCATATCAATTGATTTTCAATAATGAAGTTTTTGGTTCATTTTTCGTATGCACATGCTATATTGGCAAGACCCAGCACATTGTTTTAGTTTTAGTAGACTTTCAGTGAAGTGTAAGTTTAATGCCCTTTATTTATCCATATAGATTCTTAGTTCAGACTCTATCCCTAATTAGCTCTGAAACTTGGGGAGAGTCGCTTGACCTTGTTGGCCTCATTGGGTCACCTATGAGGTTCCCTCTAGCTCAGTCACTGTTGTTCTAAGTTAGCCATGGGTTACACCCACGGGTTACAGCCACATCTGGCCCTCTGGGGCAGCCTTCTGCCTTCTCAGTGTGATGTCAGGATGGAATCTGCCATGTTGGATTTTAGATAAGAGTCTCCACGACTTCCAACAAGAAACGGGTTCCTCCAGGACTTTTTCTCTTGTCCCCGTAAAAAGTACCTTTTTAGTTCCTGTGTCCTCCTATAGTTCCTAAAGGAGCCATTTCTCACATGCTCTGTTCAGGGGAAGTGTTGGCTCACAGCAAGATGGCCTCATACTTTCCAGCTGATGTTCTGGCATCGGTGTTGGGTTTATCTGATCTATCCCTTGTGTTCACATCAAGGTGGTAAAAGTACTGGCCATTGTCCGGTGTGAATTAAACCAGACTTTCATGGCATCAAGCTAGTGCCCGTGGCCCAGGATTGTAGCTTCTCAGTCCTAGAAGGAACCTTGAAGGCCATCCAATCCAACACCATTGGTGCTTAAATCTCTGCTATATCATCCCAGCAGAGCCAGTCTTCACTCAGGAGTTACTTGCCTACACTTGAGAAACCAGATGTGCTCCTCTCTGGAGTTCCCAGCTGGTCTTTTAAAATCAGCCTCCTATGCCTGGGGGCACCAAGGTGACCAGCCAACTCACGCTCTCTCCTCGGCCTCCTTCCACAGTTAAGCCCAGCGTGTGCAGGTGCCTCTGATTGGCTTGGGCATCATTTCCAGTCTTCTGCAGTGCCTGGGACAGGGCTGGGCACATAGGCACCCAGAATTTGTTGCCTTTAATCCAGTTGAATGTGTAGTTTTTGTGATGACTTTTGTATTTGTCAGAAACTCCCTGATCTCCCATGCCACTGACTAATTGAACCCTTTTCTTAGCTTCTTTGCGAGGGATGCAGGAGGTCCTACAGAGAAAGGCGCTTCTTGCATTTCAGAGGTGAGTGGGAGTTCATCTTTTCACTTGGCTGTGCATAATGACACCGAAGTATGATAAGTATAAAAAGAAGAGTTATTTATAAAGATTATGTAAACAGTGTTCTTACCCCTGGGAGTCTTTCATCTTGAGCACCGAACATACAGTATCCAAACTTGCTGCCTCATTTGTTGCCGTGTAAATCTGCATTCTTAATCTGTATATCCATTTGGGCACATTTTATTCATTCCTAATAAAGTGATTTCAGCTCTAAGAAGATAGCTACTTTGTATGTCTAGGGAGATGACTCCTTTTATTAAACAGATTTGTCATCACCTAGAAAAGGGATTATTCTTTTCCAGCTTTTTTTTTTTTTCACATGTCAAGCTACAGATTTTCATATTAAGAAATGAAAAGGCCAGATTTTAGGACAGTCTCTGAAATACTATGTTAAGACAGTCAGGCCAGCAAGACCCAGGCCCCTGCACCCGCCATGCTCTGTAACACACGGGGCTTGTCTCCAACATTGTGTCTTTCATGAAATTAGGAGAATGCCTTATAATTAGAGAACGCTTGAGTGTCAGAGTGCTCTTTCACAATCCTTATTTAAGTTGACCCTCAGTCCACACCGCTCAGGTAGACAGGAGAGGTGGTATGTTTAGTGCAGGTAAGGGACTGAGACGCAGGAGTGAGGAGAGTTGCCGGAGTCACATGGCTATTAAGTCAGGATCGAATCACAGTCTCCTGACTCTGGTCCAGCTTTTCTGGTACCTTCTATGCCACACTGCCCTAATTTTCTTCTTATTGCAGGTATAATAAATCACTAAAATGAGTCGTTGTCTGAAAGTATAGTCCCATGATGTCAAATCTAGAATTGGTATTGGTCCTTTCACCTTAAATTATATCTTAGTTACATTGATTTCTTGGAATTGAGTTAGGAACTTAGTTATTTATCTGAAAATTTCCTGAGGACCTCTCAATACCTAATAACCTTTGTGAGGTCTCTTTCTTTAGAACTGGGGTTGCCTACGGATTTGTCACAGGGTACATGTTCCTTTTTTCGTGAAGTCATTATCACTTGGTGTCAGATGAAACTCTTTCATCTCGTTCCTCTGCATTTCCTAGCAGGCTTGCTGATAACTTCTTCACTTTGTCAGTCTCAGACTGGTTAATGACAAAAAGTCCCAGTTGACACCTGCAAACAGATCTCCTGTTTCTGTGCTAAGCTTTTGTTGATGTTCTCCAGCACGGAGTGTGGAAAGCATTTCCATTTCAAATGATTTGGAGGTTTAAATTCTCCAGTCCTAGTTCGTCAAACCCACACATGGATGCCTAAGAAAGCGGTCATTACATCTGTTTCACTTTTCTTAAATCAGCACATCTTACCGGCTCTCTAAAAACAGCCATGGTGGTGGTCTGCCTTGAGCCACCAGAATTCCTAACGTCATCTTATATAACAGCTGTTCCATTGGCCTGAATTCCTTTTTGTTCCTTTTTTGCTTAGGTTTTAATTCAAGAGATTTTAAAAATATTAGTTCCTATGGGAATAAAGAGTAATAAAATCCTGCTAACCTACGTGATTATGTTGGGGAAGGCTAACCTAAATTAGTGTTTGTGTGAAATGAAGAATATTTTTCACAGGAGTAAAATTATTTTGTTTCAAGTCCACATTAACTTGGACTATTCTAGTGCGTGTAGACTTAACAAAAATCTATAAGGGAAGGATTTTAAATGAATAAGAATGATTTGTATTACATCTTAAATGTAAGTGGATATCTAAAACCCACTTGGATGAGAAGTCTAGTCATGTGCCTCATAATGACGTCTCAGTCTACGATGGACCGCATTTACAATGGTGGTCCCATAAGATTAGTACCATAGAGCCTAGATGTGTAATAGGCTATATCATCCAGGTTTGTGTAAGTGCACTCTGTGATGTTCGCATGACAATGAAATTGCCTAATGACGTGCTTCTCAGAACATATCCCCATCATTAAGTGACACAGGACTGTACTTCTTTTGCTATGTGTTTTAAATCTTCTCCCTGCAATTCTGTTTATACCATTCTTTGGCAATTTTTGTTTAAAAAGAAAACAGTGTAACTCAAAAAGGAGTGGGGTTGCAGATATAGCATGTGAAAATTAACTCTTAGTTATGACTGGAGCCAGAGTCCAGAAAGATTTGCTCTCCAGCAGGTGCAAAAAGGTGATTTTTGAAGACATCCCACTTGCATGACTGCATCTTAATGTTGAGGCCCTCAGCTGTACCTACACTCATAAGCTCAGCCCAAGCAACTGAACCAATTCATTTGCCCCGTACAAAAGCATAGTGAAGAAAACATAGTGTTGTCTGCAAAGCTTTCTGAAGATGCTGAATTGATCTGAGTGGCTACCTCGGTGGGCTCTCACCTCCTACAGAGAAAAGCAAGTCTGAAAACAGCTGAGAGTATATTTCAGTGACTTGACCCCCAGCGTGCAGAAATCTGGGCTGCTCCGTGGGGAAGAGGTGGCATGGTGTCACTCGGGTTTGTCACTCAGCATGGCAGAGGGTACACAGTCTCGCTTTATTTTCCTCTCTCCCTCCTAGCTTGAGTTTAAGTTTGAATGTGGTATGTTTTGTGTGGTTGGAGTGACCAATCATCCAAGTTTGTCAGGAACTGAGCAGTTTCCCAGAATATGGGACTTCCAGTGCTAAAACCAGTAAAATCCTGGGCAAACTAGGACAAGTATGTTTGTAACTAATGGGAGGTTCCTGAGCAATAGATTTAACCAGGTGTGTACATTTTTTTCTTAACTTAATAATATACTAATCCCATGTCCACTATAATCAGTACTGAAAGGGACTTCAAGGAGAATTGGCTAAACAAGGCAGCAGGCTGATAGTGTGAAGAGACCAGGCCTCCAGTGAAGAGACCTGGCTTTACCTCTTCTGCTGGACGTTCTTAGACAAGATGCTTAATAGTAGATCCTTCACGAGTTGTACTAATTATTGTTACAAAGTATGTGTGTTATGGACCAGGGTCAAAATTGATCAAGCTTCTCTGTATTCTTTGTTCAGCTCTAAAGGACGTTGGAACTGGAGTCTACAAGAGCACTGGGGTAGAGCTCAATGCATTCTGAGTGTTAGCCAGGTGGTCTGGGAGGCCCATCCCGTGCTCTCCAGTAGCAGCCTGCCATGCCTCTCTCAGGGCACTCCTCCCACTGCACTGTAATGATCGCTTTGGGTTTCCCCCTCTGCAGGGTTAGGAGGAGCTCCTCAAGGAAGGACACTTGTGTTATTTGTCTTCAGGCTCCCCAAAGGCTAGCACAGGGCCTGGCATCACAGTAGGTACTGCATAATGTGGATGGATGGATGGATGGATGGATGGATGAGTGGATGAATGAGTGGATAGATAGATAGGCAGCCTCAGTAGGCCAGCAGTCTAATAATTCTTTCTTTCCTTACGGAAGAGAAATTAAATTAATGGATGTAGAGGTGCTTTAACTAGGGAAGCATTTTGTGAGCATGTCTGTGGTGATATTTTTAGGTCTCTGGGTTTCTCTTAGCATCCTCACCAGGTGCTCACTGTATGGGAATGAGGTTTATGGGGCTGCTTTAAATTCATGTGCAGAGTCCAGCGGGCTTGCAGTTTTCAGGATCACCAATGACCTTCTTCTCAGCTGCGTCGCTTGATGATTTCTGTTGAGCAGGTTTTCTGTGGGCATACCAAAGTGTTTTTGTCACAGGAAGCCTACCTGCTGAAGTTGTTCTGCACGACTGAAGCAAGTTTTCTAGGGCCTACATGAGATCACCACCGTTCACTTTTTCTTGTTTTCTTCGGCATTCTCCTTTATCCTTTTTTCATTCATAGGCTAATGTGGTCAGTTTAACTCATTAGCCAAATTATTGAAATAAGATTTTCTAAAAATGTGTATGTTTAAGATGTCCCTCATTAGGAATTTGGCAGCTGGATCGCCATTAGTAGCCAAGTTGGCAGTTCTTCAGATGCTGCCCTAATGCATCTCAGAAATGCCGAGATTTCTAGCACTTCTGGTTTGTTTCTCTCATGGTGCTGTGGCTAGCAGTTAATGATCATTTGATGAGGTCAAGGTGGGGTCTTTGGTCAGAACTATCCGTATCCACACCCTGAGGTCACCAGACCATTGCCAGCTTTTCACTTGGTTGGTGTTGCGTAGAGGCACCCATGGTTTGATTCAACTTCATTTGTGAGAAATCTAAACTGGGCTGAGAAAATTACAGCTCTGAGGAGTTCTTTTTGAGGGTTGTAGAAACCTGGCTTTATTAACTGTGAAAGAAGAGGAGATAAAATAAATAATGCTAAATAATTCAAAGTCTCTTTATAATTAATTTTGTATTCATCTTCCCTGAGTAATTGGGAGAGACAGAAACCATGACATTCCAGCCTCACTTTTTATGAACACCAAAGAAAAAAATTCTTTGATGTACAAATTCATGGAAAACCAATAGTTGTAAAAGAATAAAAACTAGGGCATACCGAGTGGGCCTCTGGTAGAAATAAGTCATTTAAAAGGGCAACACAGTCAAATACTCAGCCTCAGCTTCTGACAGTGAAGTGAAGAGTCTCAAGGCTGTGTCTTGAGGCGAGGTTACTGGTAAAGATTCCCCAGGAACGGGAATTTAGGTGTTTTGTTCTTAAGATTAATAAAAGGACAGAGACACCCTCTTGCTGTCCCTCAGTCCCACACATGAGCTACCACATCTGCCCAAACGTGCCTGGGATTGTTGCACTTCGCGTATTTTCTGGATAGAAAACAGCTGGAGGACTTTTTAGCCCCTCTCCCCACAGCAGGTGGGTGGTTCCATGAAAAGGCCTTAACTCTGTAGAAAGCCGTCCTGGGCGTGTTTGCCACGGGAGAATTCGTAATGATTTGGCTTTCTTTTTTGTCTTGAATTTGTTTTCTGCTGGTGGAAGCTCCTCCTTTAATCACAGAGTGTTGACAGAACAGCCTGAAGGTTTGTTTACTATCTGAGTTCCACCGTTGGTAATTAGTCTGCTCCACAGTGCCTTCTAGAAGGAAGTAAAAGTTTGTTTTTCTCTTCCCACCAGACTGTTAAACACAGAATTATGTCTTGTATATAGTCATTTTGAGTTGCTCAAGGTGAAATGCAATTGACTTTCACATAAAAGCAAGAATGCCCATGTTTGCAATCAAGTAGGAGGCCAGCACAGCCTCTTCCCATCTAGTGTCAAAGGCCAGTTAATAAAACTAAGCCTGGTGTCTGGCCACAGAGTCTTCCATGTCACAGGTACATGGATTAAATTAGTAAACTGCATGGAACTGAGCAGAAGCTTCAAAAGACTGAGTGAGCATCCTTCTTCTCTGTCTATAGTTCATAGAAAACCAAAACCTCATTTTACAAGCAAAGCCCAGTCTTTGATTTTCATATGGTTTCTCAGAAATCCAGAGATTTGAATGAAGTAGCGTTAAGGCCAAGCCAGAACTTAACCAAAGCAGCCAGCGCCTTGCCAAGTCCACTCATGGCCTCACCGTGTCCCAGGATGACACGTGGGCCCCTCCTGCTCAGCCCAAGGGAGACGTCCGCTGGGGAGGTCAGACCTCAGGGCCTGTGGGTTCTTCACCTCCCAGATCCTCCTCAAAGGCGAGGATCATTGGCTGCCATTTAAGATGCTAGACAAAACATAGAACCATGCTCATGTACCGTACCTGTGTACAGTGGTAAGAGGGCAAAGGCATTACATTTGTTAGTAGACAAAGGAGAGTTCAAATGAAACAATAAATAGTTAAATATGTGGCCTTAGCATAACAATGCAAATGGAAATACTGTTGGATAGGGAAAGTGAAAATGGCCTCTCATGTACTAATAGGCGTAAATACTTTTTCAGGGCCCACAGCCTGTCACCTACAGATCACCAAGCAGCTTTCTACCTGGCTCTGCAGCTTGCCATCTCCAGACAGGTGAGTGTCTCTGATGTTCGCTGAACTTGGCGCACGCTCTGTCCTGATACAGTTTCTTCAGCCCTTCCGTTTGAGATAGCCGCTGATCTTCCTTCATTCGCGAGACTAACCGGGAGCCAGGACTCTTCTCAGAGCGTGCTGACTCCTCACTGCGAAGACCTGGTGTTTTAGTCAGTTTAAGCATCAGCTGTAAAGACACAGGCATGCCAGGCTCTGCTTTTGGTGATTAAATCCACAAATCTGAAAGGCCCAACCTGGGGTCAGATGGCAACATGGGATGCAGCACATGGCATGTACTGCGAACCCCGGAGTCTTCACAGAGCCTGTTTCCCTTCTAACAGAGCCCGGTGCCGAGCAGCATGGTGGGGATTTAGTCACTGGTGGGGGCCTAATTGTCATAAGGGTATCGGTGATTGACAGGAAGATGCCAACAGATGTAGACAAAAGACCAGTTCCTTTAAAATATGTAGAAGATATGAACAATTGCACACAGTGGGCCCTCGAAACAGGAGACTTAACAGTATTCTCCTTGCTGGAGAGGCAAGCTTTGCTTGCCTTCATCTTCCCGATGGCAGCTTCCAGAAGCTGCCTTTGCCATTCGCAGACCCTCCTGTCCCCTCCCAGCTGTTCTGGAGACTCTGGCTACATGCCTGCCTGCCCACCAGGTGCAAGACACTGGTGGTAACCCCAGCACATTCCTGAGTGCTGACTGGAGGGTGAACCGAAGGTCAGTTCCCCAGACATGCCATTCCCCTGGCAGGCCTGGGCTGCAGGCATGCTTCTTTCTTCCTGGAGGCCTGGGAATGGTGCTGAGAAGTGACTCCCATTGGTGTCCTGGGGACTGAGGAAGCCAAGATACCTCTTCTGTAAAGGTCGTTTCACCCGGCAGGGTATGGCTCACAGCTGGACTGATGCAGAGCTGCTGCTGCAACCACTGTGGGCTGGTGGTTGACCATCTGGTCTCTCTCCTCCACCAGGAACTTCTCTTGCCTGCTCCATGAAGCCTCCTTCCTACAGCAGCCCGCACTTGTCCTTCCTTGTGCTCAACTCTCTTGTTCACTATCTTTCCATTAGATTTCAGGTTCCACGAGGGCAGGAACCCATGTCTGTCATCATCATTGCTTTACCCTGGCAGCTGGAACACTGCCTAGCATGTGTTAGGCACTCAGTAATACTCGTTGAATGAAGGAATCAGCTTTGAATTCCTTCAAGTCAGCTATCCCTTAAGGCCATCATTTTGAACCCTTTATCAGTTTGTTCCTAATTGCTCTGGTCATCCTAATTGCCCTGGTCAGCAAATTGACACCATGGATATACTTGCCTTTCCACCCTCCCCATAATACCAGGCTGAGTGCTGTTCACACAGTAGGTTATCACCCTGAGGAGTGGAAAAGTAGATGGAGCCTGTGGGTGCAGCAGCAGCCTTGGTGGCACACAGCAAGACAACACCACACCTCTGGGGAGTGTTTCCCTGCTGACCGAGGGCATGGGGTTGTGGCCTCTTACCCTTAGAGCCAATGCCTTTGGACCAGGAGGAGAGGACGGGAGAGCAGTCGGAAGGTCTAGTGCTACTCTCATCTCAGTCACTCAACGCCGGATGACCTTGCTCAAGTCATCTCACCTCTCTGGAGTTCATCTTCCTCCCTGGAAGTGAAGGGTTGTGCCAGACGATCTCTCTTCCAGCTGTGATAGCCACGATTCTATGACACAAAAGCAGAAAGCCTCCATAGCCAGCATTTATAACTTAAATCCATCCAAAATGGAATTTCAGTGAGGAAAACTAATAGATTTGGGAAAGACGGAAGTCATGGCTTCCTCCTAAGGAGTGAGGTTATTGAGGGTCTGGGAAGAAGCAGGATTGCTGAGAAGAGGTCCAGCACAGGGAGAGGAACTGGAGCGAGGACAGGGAGGAGTCCCTGGGGCAGTCGTGTAAGAAAGCTTCAGTCTCCAGCACTGTTTGGAAATCCAGCTTCAGGTTCTAATTCGCCCTGGTCCTTGTGAAACCTGCATGGAATCTCGGGTGTTCAAATATCTATTATGCATGCATTTTACCCACCCCTGTGCTTGAGGATTTTGAACAGTCTTCAACAGCTGTTGCATTTTAGAAGTTAAGGTTGTATCTGGTCCTACTTGAATTTGGATACATCTGCTTTGTATGTGGCATTGCAATTTGTTTCTTGGATGGAGTTATTTTGGTTCTCGTTTGGAAAGGTGTGGGAGTTTTGTTTGTTTGTTTGTTTGCATATTTCCTTGATGTCTAGTGGAGAGCCAGGACAAAGGAACTGGAAAAGAATCACAGGTGTCTGATCATTTGGGAAGCTCTCTTTAAGGTTTTGTAACTTATTAAGCACTATAATTTCAGTAATACTTTAAAAAATGAGAACAGTTCAGCTAAGGCAGTTTAATTCCACTAAAAACTTCTGGCAATTTGTTTGTGTCTCCGTGTAGAGTGAAATTATCTTGGGCATAATCGAAAGTAGATCAGTTTTATGGAAAAAGAGAATTTGTTTATTTAGGGAGAAATGAAAGATTTGGTGTTGGCAGTCATATAGAGGGACAGAGTCTCCCCTGTCACTTCATCCGTCACAGTATCGCCTGGAAAGAGCATCTGTTTTCACCTTTCTGGTTGGTATCCTGGGGCTATCCTAAAGATGGCTTCATATCTGAATGTGGCACAAGGCGAAACAACTCCTGATATGTCCAGAGAATCAGTTATGGAAATGGTGGCTTCATATATGTGTGTGTGTGTGTGTGTGTGTGTGTGTGTGTGTGTGTATTTAAAATTCTTCTTGGTTTTGTTTAAAACCAGATACCAGAGGCTCTGGGGTATGTCCGCCAAGCTCTTCAACTTCAAGGCGATGATGCCAACTCCCTGCACCTCCTGGCCCTCTTGCTGTCAGCACAGAAGCATTACCACGATGCTCTGAATATCATTGACATGGCCCTGAGTGAATATCCAGAAAATTTTATGTAAGTGATCCTGGGCTTTGGTTTCCCCTTACTCAAAAGGCATTAAATTTACTTCTCCCCCTTCCTTCTCTCCAATCTGTCTAATTTAAGTCCTTCATGGGTAAATAGTACAAAATTCCCTTCCCTTTTATTTTTTCATGATATTTAGAAACAAACGTAGTCTGTTGGGTCAACCTTGTTAAGTTAAACTACTTTATCCATTCTCTCCCAGTGTGTACCCTTGGGGCACACAAGATGATTTTAGATGGATTGCAGATGAACATTTTTATTTTAATGGGTATACATTTTTTAAGTGTACATTAGAAAAAATATAACTGCGTTTCAAAGTGTGATCTCATGGAAATTATTGCTCGAAGGGAAACTAAGAATTTCCTAAATGAATTGTTTTAAAGTCAATTTAAAGGAAAAAATTAAGTAAATACAGATATACGTGCTATGGCAGAAGCTTTATTGAACAAACTCCAGTGACTGAAATTTGGGAAACATTGTTTTCTAGCTTGTCTGTCCCACCTTACCAGGGGCTTCGGCTAATTCCAGGTGACTGTTATATTTTAGGCAACTTTGATCAAGATACCTGACCTCTTTGTGCCTTGGTTTTATTCTCTGGGAAATGGAATTCCTTAAATCAATCAATCAATATTTGTACGTAACCTAAGAATTGTCGTTATAAACTGCCACATGTTTGAATTATCTACTTATCTTCACATCTTTGCCCCGAATCCCTGATCCAGGCCTGTTGGTTAGGCTTTGTTGAGAAGGACATTGCCTTTTGGGCCACTCAGTTCCCATTTTATCCTCAGTGAAGTAGCTTAGTAACCAGTACACAGAGGCCAGAAACAGTAAACACTCCTGCACGCTGGCAGGTTAATTGTCTGAGTGGCGGGGTCAGTAATGGGGCGGGGGAGAAAGGAAGGAATGTAGCTGGTGGCCCGGCTGGCTCTTCACTTTCAGAAATAAGTGCCATCGCAAATTCTAAGTGGATCAGCTTTGGCTTTATTTCTCTGCCTCATCACCTCACTGTGTTTTTAATCAGTGCATTTCAGCAGCTCTCCTTGGAAAATTGGTTCACACATTTCCATTACAAACATTTCTTTGTCTTCAATTGAAAAGGGCACTTCTCTTCTCCCCATCGAGAAAATTCTCATTATAATCCAGGAACCCTCTGACTAGAGATTTCTTTTGTAGGCTCAGCTATTTATGCAGAGTGAATTAAAGAGCTGTGCTGCAGTGGTTTACTTGTTGCAGATCTCAAACTTGCTCTTTTGCACAGCGAGTGTATTTCTGGGTTTATCCAAAGCTAGTTAGCCGATGGAACCTTAAAGTGGTTAAAGCACTTTAAAAAATACTCCATCCTTTACCCGTCCATCAGTACAGTACAGCCCGATGCAAGTGAATTCTATTTCTCTCATCAATATGTATAAAGCGCGTTCCTTTCTCTCACCTCCCAACACCTTCATTAGACGTTAGACTCCAGCATGTGGCTCCTGCAGAGACAGCCTAAGGTGTCATCCGAGAGGAGGCTTATTAAACTAATGGCCACCCCACACAGTAAGCAGTAAACAGTGGTGGCTAATATGGTAATGCCTCCAAGTGACAGCAGCTGACAGCCTTTTCAAGTAGTGTAAGTAAGGAACAGCAGTAGAGATATTTGAGGAATGCAAGCCTGTTATTTTAATGTTAAGCTGTAAGCTCAAAAAAGCAAAGCATATGGCAGCAGGTCTGAGAGCAGCCGATGACTTGTTTGCTTTTTAAATATTTGTATTTCTTCCTTTGTGATGGGAAACTTCTTCCCAAGAATACTTTATTAAAAGTTGGGGCCAGATGTTATCGGTGGATCCCATGGTCTCTTCCCAACCTGGGTAAAACCTTTTCACACCAACCTAAACAAAACAATGTGGGCACTTGTCCCAACTGCCGGGTAGTTTTATCTGTTTGTTCATGACAAGCTTGTCACAAACTGTAGTCCAGCCCAGTGCAGTCCAGTCCAGCAGAACTGTAGACTCTCAGAGGCCTGGAATGCCTCGTGTTTCTTGTGTCCCACCAGCCATAGCTCCCACAGAGTGAATACGAAGTCAGTGTTTGATCAGTACCTGCTAGATGAAGGTGACAGCCCACCCCACTGTTAGGGTCAGGCCTGTCCAGCTGTGGGACAGTTAAACTGTTGAATAGAGAATTGATTTAGCTAGGCTCTTAGCCTGACGCAGAGAATTACAGAATTTTTTGGTCCCTGTTAAGTTTATTCAAGGTGCTTAAACACCAACTTTTATCATTTCATGGCGACAGTAGGATAGGTAATATTTGAGAGACCAGCTGTCCCTCTAAGGGCCTTCAGCTGTCTCAGCGAGTGCATTTAAGACATTTGTGCACGGTGATCACCCGATAATTGGGACGAGTGCATGTTATTATTACTACGGCACTTTCAAATATGATATTTTAGAATCCTTTAAAATTGTTGTTATTAGAGTAGAAGTAAAAGAATATTTATTAAATGTATTTAAAATAATAATACAACTAACATATGTACACCCACTTCCTGCGTGACCCTCTCTATCCTCTCCCCTTGCCCCTGAATTCTATGTTGAGCATTCTCTTGTGTTTCTATACTGTTACTGAACCAGGTTCGTTTCGCCTGCCCCACAATTATGCCAATCACCGAGACAATGAGTTCGCAAAGAGAAAGGGTTTAATTATAAGGCAGCCAAGTGAGGAGACGGGAGGACCAATCTCAAATCCACCTCCTCGAAAAACGAGGATTAGGGATATTTATGGGATTAGGGGCCGGATGGTCTGAAGTGTGAGAATAGAAGATTGGAGGTAAGAAGTAAGGTAATTGATGATCTGTGCAAGTGTAGTCAAGCTTCATGGCTCTCCATAGGATGCACATCCACAAAGTGGCAGTGTTACCATGATCTGAGGGTGGAGTTTTTAGTTCCATGACATCAGGAGGTCGTGCAGTCTAGTTGGTGAGTTGGTGGTTTTAGCCGCCTGAACTGGACAAGGAGTCAACTCTCAGTTGCTGAAAAACTCAAGCCCCGTTACCATGGTGACCCAGGCATCAGAGATGTTGTCTATAGGGTGGGTTTTAGTAATGCATTCTCTAACTACTTTTGCAAACAGACAACCAACTGAGTATGGTTAAAGCAAGTTGGTCCCTGTTTTCAATACCATGTATGTTTGTACACCTAATAATAAAAATTTCTAATTTTGCACGTTTAAAAATTTTTTAATGGAATATACTGACTATATCCTTATACTACTTGCTTTCATTGCTTAACATTATGTACCTGAGGTTCATCTTATTGCATACAGCAACAACTTATTCATTTACACTGAGGAATAGTACTTTATTATATAAATTTACCAAGATTTATTTTTCCAGTCTAGTGTAAACGGATATGTGGTTTGTTTTCAGTTTTGGGCTACTATGAACAATGCTGCTGTAAATATTCTTGTATGGGTCTCCTGGTGCACATGTGCAAGCATACCTCCAGCTGTACACCTACAAGTGAAATTGTTGGGTCATAGGATATGTGTATCTTCAGTTTTACCAAATAAGTCCAAACTGCTTCCAAAGTGCTTGTGCTGGTTTACCCACCAGCAGTGCCCGAGAGCCCAGATGGCTCCGTACACCAACACTCAGTGTGGTCAGACTTATTTTTGGCGATATGGTTGCTGGTTAATGGTATCACGTTGTGAGTTTAAGTTGCGTGTCCTTTGTTCTTAATGAGATTGAAGACCTTTTTATTTGTTTATTGGTCATTTAGCTTTTCTCTTTTGTGAAGCACTTGTAGAAATCTTTCCTCTTTTCTAATTGGGTTGACTTGTTCATACTAATTTGTAAGATTTCTTTTTAAATTATGGTTTCAAGTCCTTTTGGTTTTTCTATGTGTTATAAAAATCTGTAATCTGTGTCTTGTCTTTGCCTTCTCTTAACGATGTCTTTTGATGAGCAGAAGTTCTTATTTTTAAAGTAGTTGAATTTATCAGTCATTTCTTTTATGGATAGTACTTTCTATGTCTAGTTTAAGAGAACTTTTCCTTCTCCAAGATCATGAAGATAGTCTCCTGAATTATCTTGTATAAGTTCTCGTTACTTTTCACACGTAGCTCTGAGAGTCCATCTGGAACTGACTGTTTTATGTCTATATGGTGTGAGGGATCAAATGTAATGTTCTCCCATATGGATATCCAATTGTCCTAACATCATGTATTGAAAAGATTCCTTTCTGTTTCTCCACAGTCCCACTTAAGTCTTAAATCAAATGTTCGTGGGGTGGGGTGGGGGTGGGGGGACAGAGGACTGTGTCTGAGCCTTCTATCTGGTTCTGTTGGTCAGTGTGTCCTTCTCTGTGTGAATGCCACTGTTTCTTCCCTGTTACAACTTTGTTATATGTGAGTAGGTCAGTCCCTTTAGCTTGCTCTTCAGGAGTGTCCTGGTGATTCTCAGCCCTTTAAGCTTTCATAAAAATTTTCAAATCAGTTTGTTAAGTTCCACAAAAAAAATCTGTTGGAATTACATTTGATCTAATAGCTCAGTTTGGGAAGAATTATGTATTTATGACAGTGGGTTTCCAATCCATGGCCATTATAGCTTGCTATTTAGGCCTTTTAAAAATATTTTTTAATGAAGTTTTACAATTTTCTTCATAAATATTTTGCCCATTTTTTACTAGATTTATTTCTAGTTACCTGAAAAAATTTCCATGCTTTTGTGTACAGTATACGTATGCAGTATTTTTTTTCAAATCAAATTTGCTATGTACTTGTTACTAGTGTATAGAAAGGCAGCTGGGTTTTGTATATTCTTCTTGACCCAACAACCCAGCCGAACCCTTATTAACTCTAACAATTTATATGTAGATTACTTTGGGATTTCTATATAGACAATGACTTTTATCTGAAATAATTAAAATTTAGTTTCTTTTTCTCTGATCCTTCTACTTTTTACAAGTTGCCGTACTGTATTAGTTAGGACCTTCAGTGAAATTGAATAAAATTCT